AAGTGTTAGCAAGACAAGTGTTAGCAAGACAAGTGTTAGCAAGACAAGTGTTAGCAAGACAAGTATTAGCAAGACAAGTGTTAGCAAGACAACTTTTAGCAAGACAAGTGTTAGCAAGACAACTTTTAGCAAGACAAGTGTTAGCAAGACAAGTGTTAGCAAGTCAAGTGTTAGCAAGACAAGTGTTAGCAAGTCAAGTGTTAGCAAGACAAGTGTTAGCAAGACAAGTTTTAGCTAGACAAGTGTTAGCAAGACAACTTTTAGCAAGACAAGTGTTAGCAAGACAAGTGTTAGCAAGTCAAGTGTTAGCAAGACAAGTGTTAGCAAGACAAGTGTTAGCAAGACAAGTGTTAGCAAGACAACTTTTAGCAAGACAAGTGTTAGCAAGACAAGTGTTAGCAAGTCAAGTGTTAGCAAGACAACTGTTAGCAAGACAAGAGTTAGCAAGACAAGTGTTAGCAAGACAACTGTTAGCAAGACAAGAATTAGCAAGACAAGTGTTATTAAAGTTATATCAATAAGTGTGGCCATGGCTGCGTCCCAAATGACACCCTATTCCCTATCTAGTGCACTTTATACAGCTGTGGCCTATAGGGGCTCTGGTTTAAAAAGTAGTGCACTATATAGAGGATAGGGTGCCATTTGGGACGCAGCCCGCGTCACTGACCAGGTGTGAACTGCCCCTCCATGGCGGTAGACCACTAGATTCATAAAGCGTTTTCTAACTACAGCAGGTATTCATTTTAGAGCTGTAAAGTTAATTGACTCCATTCATTGCCACGATTATATTTCAGTTGTCCTCTTGGCCCAGTTTCAGCTTTGCTCAGCTCTGCTCTGGCCGCAGTGTTGTATTTCATCTAAACCGTCAAAGCCTTGGAGTTTAGGTTTTCCCAACTGAGCATGATTCAACTCTCCGTTGAGTCTCTCCAGCTCAGCACAGGAACCCCTCCCTGTGTCCTCCTATCCTCTAAACCTCTCCTGGAACAGGGCCAGCTCCAGCAGAATGAAACTAATTGCCTTCATGTTGTATTCTCAGACGTATAGTCAGACAACAGGTGTAAATATGAAGTCTTTATATAACAGCTACCATGCTGTTTCACCAACATGGCAGACACATTACCCTATAGCCTACAGAGACACACACACACACACACACACACACACACACACACACACACACACACACACACACACACAGACTCTCTCACTCTACCTCAGCTGTAGTTACAGCACATTATAACATGACGTGTTAGACGTGCAGTTGGCTGCAGCTAAAAGGTTTTTATTGGTTACCTTCACTCTCCAACACCCCCCTTCACTTCCTCAGCCTTCACTCTCCATCACACACCCTTCACTTCCTCAGCCTTCACTCTCCATCACACACCCTTCACTTCCTCAGCCTTCACTCTCCATCACACACCCTTCACTTCCTCAGCCTTCACTCTCCATCACACACCCTTCACTTCCTCAGCCTTCACTCTCCATCACACACCCTTCACTTCCTCAGCCTTAATCACTATCAACTGAGATCATTTGTCATCAATCGTTGGCAGTGTTATCTCAGGCAAAGGGAGTGTCCTGCCCAGCCCCAGCCGATACAGTGCGTCAGTCAGGTCGCATCCCAAAATGGCACACTATTCCCTATTTAGTGCACTACTTTTTTTTAACAAGGGCCCATATGGCTCTGGTCTAAAGCAGTGCACTATATAGGGAATGGGGTGCCATTTGGGACTCATTCTCAGTCTGGAAGTGTTCAAGCTAACCCATCCAGCATACAGCACAGGGACAACACACACAGGACCTTATGACACTGTGAGGTGACATCATCTCAATACTTTGATGACACCCTCGATGTCACACGTACACACACACACAGTGTTGTACAGCTAACCTTGTGGGGACACACAATTCAGTCCCATTCAAAATCATATTTTCCCTAACCCTAAACCTAACCCTAACCTTAATCTTAACTTGAACCCTAACCCAAAAACCTAACACTAATCCTAAAACTAATCCTAGCTCCTAACCCTAACCCTTAACGTAATTCGAAACCCCAACACTAATTCTAACATTAAACCTAAACCCCCTAGAAATAGCATTAGACCTCATCGGGACTAACAAAATGTCACCAGTTGGTCAAATTTTTGTTTGTTTTACTATTCTTGTGGGGACTTCTGGTCCCCACAAGAATAGTTAAACACGCCCACACACACACACACACACAATCCACCAATCAAATTTACAAAAAAAGGATCCAAACATTTCAAAGGTCCCTGTATGCATGGCACTCAAGGGTACAGAAAGCACCTCCTTCTCCAAACAGCCAGGCTGCCCACGGCAGCTGAAACAGAACAGTACCTAGCCAATTGCTTTGCCTTCGTTTTTGTCAGGCCCGCAATCTGGAGGCCACACACTGCAAGCCTGTGTACGTGGCAGAGACTGCCAAATATCAGCACCACCAGCACCTACACCCGAGGCTGTCCAAGGGTGCCACGAGGGGCTGGTACATAAGCAGCTTCTCGGCAAAGGCCTGCTCCATGTAGCCGTCAAATGAGCAAAATGAGCCCCTCCCCCTTGCCCCCGCCCACAACAACAATATCTGGTGTATTTGGCACACAGGAAAACACATCATCATCAACATCAAACCAGGCTTTAGATCTACATAGGATCCGGAACTACAATGGGGTTTAAGGGGAGGAGGAGGAGGGGGGAAACGTCATTTCACACACACACACACACACACACAAGCACACACACATACACACTCTCCCCTGATTAGTGGTTAATCCTTATGCATCTGGCCCGCAGGGTTTTGCTATCCAGGCTGTTTTAGCACCATCTGAATGGGGGTTTAGGTTCACAGTTCACACAGAGTTTACCCTACAACAGTGGGACTTGAACAGGAGGGTTTGGGATACTATTTGTACTGAGTTAACACTACAGACATTAACACCAATGCGTTAGGTTAACCAGTTGGCCAAGGGTGGGGACCTGGAACACATGGAGGGGAATGGAGTCAGAGGTCTTGTAAATGTGATGACACTTAAAGCCCAGAGACATGCCAGTTCAGCGCTCAGCTCGCCTCACACACAGACCACGTCCCCTTTTCATGCTGTATCAAGTGATCCAGGCCTTATTCCATGCCGAGGAGCTGGCTGACTTAAAATAAACAAAACTGCAGTCTAGACACAAGGCATGTCAGGGTTTCTTTGCTTCGCAACAGCATCGTACACCTTTAAGGTGTCACTTAGGCTATCAAATATCCAAGCCTTTAGCCAAGATGTAGCACATTCTTCTTCACTGTGACAGATAGAGGGGTCTTTCATGGATAGTAGCCTCTGCCGAGTCCCCAACAACCGTATGTTCAAGTTTTCAGGGGAAATGGAAAGAGAGCCTGTGACTTCGCGTGACTTCCACTTTTGGACGTTAACAAGGAGACACTCTATCTTAACTCCTCCTCCACATTTACTGGATTGGTTGAAAAGTGCAGAAGAGAACCTCCCGCGACAGTTTCTTTCCTTCTGTCAAGACCAGTATGTAGGGAATCTAGTTTCAGGCGTTTCTTTTTCTTTAGGTCACGTGGAGAGAGACCCATGCATGGAGCATTTTATATTTCACTGTTCCCGTTCCAGTCCCTATTCCAAATCAAGGAGCGCTGATTTAAAAACTAAAATAACTAGCACTCAAGTCAAACAAGACATGTCAGTTTCTTGCTTTTAGACGCATTGGACACCTTGAGTTGTCACTTAGACTAGACCTCAGCCTTTAATGTAGTCTGCCAAGACGACCTCAGTCTTTAATGTAGTCTACCAAGACGACCTCAGCCTTTAATGTAGTTACCAGATGACCAGCTTAGTAGTCTCCAAGACACTCAGTTTTATGTGTAAGAGACTCAGTCTTAATGTGTCTGTCAAGACGACCTCAGCCTTTACTGTAGTCTACCAAGACGACCTCAGCCTTTACTATAGCCTACCAAGACGACCTCAGCCTTTAATGTAGTCTGCCAAGACGACATCAGTCTTTAATGTTGTCTACCAAGACCACCTCAGCCTTTAATGTAACCTACCAGGACCTCAGACAGATGGGTCTTTAGTGTTAATGGAGAGACCCATGCAGGCAGCATTGGACACATCAAAGTGTCACTTATGATAGATCTAAGATCTTTAATTAAAGCAAAGTAACAAGATGCACTACTTCCTGCTTCACTGTGACAGAAGGGTCTTTAGTGTAGACCCCAAAAACGGTCAGTCAAATAAAACAAGACATGATAGTGTTTCTTTGCTTTTCAACAGTATTAGACACCTTGAAGTGTCACTTAAGCTATCACATGTCTAAGCCTTAAACAAGAGGTACCACCTCATACTGCCTCAACTGATCAAATGTACCACCATATTCTTCACTGTGACAGAGGGTCTTTAGTGGAGAGGCAGCGTTTTATATTTCACTGCTCTTGTCTTCCCACGGAGATATAAACAGATGATGTCAGAGGGTGGTGCTCGCTCTCTCGCTCGGCTCTTACGTCTGCCCAGCAGATGGTGTGCAGCATTAGTAAAGAGACTTGGAACAATCGGCCATAGAGAACCATCTGACATTTAGAGGGGGATTTTGGGGGAGGGGGATGGAGGGAGAAAGGGATGGAAGGGGAGTAGGGGGGGGACAAACTTTACCGGCTGTCTGAACCTGGTTTTTGTTGTTGTAAAACATGGGGTCTGCTGCTAGGGTGTCAGAGTAGAGTTAGGGTAGAGCTTTTACTGTGACGTATCATAATGATGATTATTAGGTACATCTATCATCATTATCATCATTATGTCTTCAGTATCTCTCTATCAAGTTGACCAATTAATATCTGCAGCTGTGTTCATTTAGTAATTACCACGTCAATGTCCTCCCAGTGTCTCTGCTGTCGTTTCAATATTGATCCCACTGTATGTATCTACTGTCATCTCAATATTGATCCCACTGTGTGTATGTCTCCACTGTCATCTCATTTGACATTGACAATGGTTCTGTTCTTGTTGCTTTTCCAGATGAGATGTGACAAAGCTCTCACCTACCTAAGATTTATCGGGACGACAATGTTTGGAGTCTCGCTACTCGTGGGGATCTCTACCGCCTACATCATGGGCTACCAGTTTTTCACCACGGCACGAAACCACTTGTCCTTCGGGCTGTACGGGGCCATCCTGGTCATCCACCTCCTCATCCAGAGTCTGTTCGCTCTCCTAGAACACCGGAACATGAGGAGATCCCTGGAGACGCCCATCAAACTCACCAAATCACTGGCCCTGTGCATCGCAGCCTATCAGGAGGACCCGGCGTACCTGAGGAAGTGCTTGGTATCCGTCAAGAGGTTGACCTACCCGGGCATCAAGGTCGTCATGGTGATTGACGGGAATAACGAGGACGACAACTACATGATGGAGATCTTCCGGGAGATCATGGGCAGGGATAAAGCCGCCACTTACGTCTGGAAAAACAACTACCACCACCGGGGACCTGAGGAGACGGACGAGACGTACGCTGAGAGCCTGCAGGCCGTCTTGCGCCTGGTGCTCAATAATAAGTGTGTCTGCATCATGCAGAAGTGGGGAGGCAAGAGGGAAGTCATGTACACAGCCTTCAAAGCCCTAGGGAGGAGTGTGCACTATGTTCAGGTAAGTCCTGGAGGAGGAGGGGTTGGAGGGGGGGCGGTGCGGTTTGTGCCAAGCTAAATATGGGGTACACAAAGACGCTTTTGTGCTCTCTTTCTGAAAAAGGATGGTGTGGAGGCCATGTGCATGTACCGTAGCTTCAAGGCTGTAAGGGTAATGCTGTTCATCAGAGTGCTAGACCTCAGTGTGAAGCCATTAACATATTTTTCTGCACTCAGTCCAACTCAGACAAAGTGGAGAGACCTGTAGGCTAATAGGTTGGAGTCAGATCATGTTGCATAGCATGGCGTCAAAACACACAGTATTCTCAATGAGGAACTTTAAAAGTGACAGTATCCGCATTAGCTACTATCCCAAGGCGTGTATAAAGTTCCTTCAATAACATTTACTAAGTAGTATTTTTCCCAACTGTGCTGTATATACTACATTGTGAATAGTTATACAGCAACACTGGAGTGTAGGTCCTCCAAACTGCTCTGGATAATACTGGAGTGTAGGTCCTCCAAACTGCTCTGGATAACTAGATTGTCTGCCTCTGAACGTCATGAGTCTTGAGGTGGGATATTGGAGACCAAACAATAGATGCTAGCATCTGTTTTCGGCAAAAGCTTGAACATATACACCAGTCAAACACGTTCCAAGCTCGGTACACTCTTAGAAAAATGGGTTTTACCTGGAACCGAAAGGGTTATTCAAGCGGTTCTACTATGGGGACAGCCGAAGATTAAAGGTTCTAGATAGCACCTATTTTTCTGAGAGTGTAGTACCGGTAAAGAAAAAATGGTTCTGTCAGTGAAAAAAGAACCCATAGTTCGTATAAACAGGTAATAATGAGATCAATGAAAGGCTATATCCCAAATGGCAACCTATTCCATATTCAGTGCACTGTTTTTGTCCAGGGCCCAATAGGGCTCCGTTCGGGACGCAGCCTAGTACACTGCTGTCTTTCCACCGTAAACGGCTGGTTTCAGTTATAATTCTAACCTCTGATCCAAAGCTTATGTAGGGCTAACTGTGTTGCCATTCTCACATATCTGTCTTAGCTAGCTATTAGCTACCAGACCTGTGTGGTTATTCTCACTGTGGGGTCGTCTGTCTAACGTACCTGATCGTGACGGTTAAAGCCTTGGCTTGGCAACACACAGATGACTTACTTGACTTGACTTAGGTCGCGTCCCAAATGGCACCCTATTCCCAAATGGCCCCGGTCAAAAGTAGTACACTATATAGGGAATAGGGTGCCATTTGGGAAGCAGCCTTAAGGCGTCCGCATGCTTCCCAGCTGAAAGTTCATATATTATAACAACATCTTGTGATGTTTGTATTCGTTTTGGACATCGGTTAGGGGGTTTTTCAGCTGTTCGGGCACACACATTTTTTTTTCGGGGGCCGAAGTCTACGCCCCTTCGTCGGTGATTGGTCAACAGTAGGGATTCTTCAATAAAGTATTTGTTGTCATTCAACCAGAGACGACTCGTTTTCATGCACATGTTTTCATTGAAAAATACTGCACCAAACATCTTAGTTAGATGTCAAATTGTGCGACTAAGATCTCTTCGGCAAAAAATGTATTACAGATTTCTTGAGTTATCTTAGATAGATATTTTGAGGAAGTGTATACTGGCTACGGCGTCTCAAAATGGACAAACAGTACTATTGCCGCTCTTTTATTGTTTCCGATGACATCATCGATGACATCATCGGTGTGCATCATGTGATTTTAACCAATGAATGAGGAGGCATTACCTACTAATTGCCTACTAATTGTCTACTAATTAGTTGATGATGTCATTGGAAACACATCTTTTTTTACTACAAAACATAGAAACATTTTCAAAGATGTTGATGTTGGAGTGGTGCTGGAGATGATGCCTACGACATTGAAATGTCCCTTTAAGCATTCCTCTTAGCGGTCCTGTTATGTCTGATAAAATATGTTGCATCAGTGGATGAACTTGACATGACCTTTATTTAGCTACTGGTTGCTGCATGATCATCACAATAAACTAATATTGCTTGGTGCGTCCCAAATAGCACCCTTTTCCCTGTACAGTGCACTACGTTTGACCAGGGCCCATAGTGTCAAAATAACTAAACCTTCTATTCTCACCATAACTGTGTGTGAATATATTGATATTGTGACATTGGGTTAACACTTAACTACACAGGCGTAAGAGCAACTTAATGTAAAGTGTTACCCGGCATTGCTTTGCAGTGTCATTATTCTGTTGGCAGGCTATATTATGGGTCAACTAATATTCCAGTATATTATATAATATATATAATATATACTAATATAATAATATATATAATATATTACTATTATATAATATATAATAGTAATATTCCAGTCTCACGCTGCGAGAGGAAGGCCCCAGGACACCCAAGCTGTCCTCAGACAACCCCTTGTTTGTTAGAGAGCTAGCGCCGTGTGACCAGCGTACTAAGGCGTTAGAAACAGGCCTACAACGCAGTCTGTCGGACAGAGGACATGCGCTACGTGTCGTATAGATCCAGTTGGAACATCAGTGAATCCATAGTTCATCTGCTGACTTTATGACCCGACCTTAGCCTTTGCGATGTCAAACCTCTGTGGTATTTGTGGCACAGATCAACCGACTGACACCAGATGGAACATGTTTTACTGAGAAGACCTTTTACACAAGCTATTTCCGATAACCACTTATCGAAGGAACGACTGATTATTAGCGGTTTTCATGTTATCTCCCCAAGCTGAGGCTTGTTACAGCTGCAATCTGTTTACTCTTTTACTGTCAAACTAGAAAGATGAAATGGGACTTTCCCCTTTTGGTTTCAGCATCTGTAGTCTTTGTAGTGATTTGTTGTTGATCTGTGGATATCAATGCCATTTATGGACTATCAGAACAGGTTTGGTGCTAACGTTGCTATCGGACTGGTTGCCAAGGGGAAGTGATCAAATAAATAGAATTCCATTTCTATAGTAGTGATGCAGCTTCACTTAATCAAACACTCAACAGATTATGAAAATAACATGAGTAATGTTGTGTACATTAGAATGATTGCAGGTGTACCAACAGGCTATGCCAAACTATGCATGAGTAGCTGTTCTCACTGGGAAAGGGCATGTGTATTGATGTACTGTGTATCAAAAGCAATAGACTGGTTAGGGTTACAGAAGTATATTCCTGAGGTGGTTTGATTATCTTCTGGCCATATCATTCTCTTTAGTTACCCTCCTTTCATGACATTTGTGTTTTAATACATTGCTCTTACACCATAAAAATAGAAATTGAATTCTCACAGCACTACACAATCAAAATGTATTCATTTTCAAACAATTCAAACAACTATCTTGATCTTTCTCTAAATATTACCATTTTGAAATAGCTCTACTACAGGTTGTTGTAGGATGCCTTTTTGACTACAACAAATTCTCTGCCACCCCAGAACACAACCAATCACAACACAACCCTCTCTCAGTCAGAATACAACCAATCACAACACAACCCTCTCTCAGTCAGAACACAACCAATCACATCCCTCTCTCAGTCAGAACACAACCAATCACAGCACAACCCTCTCTCAGTCAGAACACAACCAATCACAACCCAACCCTCTCTCAGTCAGAACACAACCAATCACAACCCTCTCTCAGTCAGAACACAACCAATCACAACACAACCCTCTCTCTGTCAGAACACAACCAATCACAACACAACCCTCTCTCAGTCAGAACACAACCAATCACAACATAACCATCTCTCAGTCAGAACACAACCAATCACAACACAACCATACTGTATCACTTCCAGTACAGGAAGCCGTCCCAAACAGCACAGCAACCTTCCTTCCTTCCAGTCTTCCAGCCAAACCCCAGCCCTCCTTTCACCGGCCCCAATAACTTCACTTACCCAATCAAATAATACCCAATGAAGGAGTGACTGAAGAAACCTTTCTAATCTGTGAAGGAGATCTGTAGATGCAAATATGACTTTACTCACACGGTTGGTTGATGTTTGTTGACCAACTGACGGACCTTCCCACTTGACACTAACTTGTTTGGAACAAGCTTTCTGGGAAACATCCAGGTTGCAAACAAAGCTTCAACTTGACATCCAAAAGAATTATGAAATGAAAGTGGCTTTTCAAAGAAACACAAAGCAATACTGTCCATCATTAATCAGTGTAATTAATGCACCGCTGATTGGTAAAATTGGCCAATATAAAACAAACATATCCCGCCCAAAAAACTTGATGAAGGACTCTTTGTCCGTGTAACGAGATCTTCTGCCCTAGTTTAACTTTCTAACTTTGTATTGTGGGAGAGAGCGTGAGAAGCGTTTTGGGTGAAGTGTTTGTGGATTTAACAGGATAGTGTGTCCCCTGTGTTTCAGGTGTGTGACTCTGACACTATGCTGGATCCTGCATCATCTGTGGAGATGGTGAAGGTTCTGGAGGAAGACCCCATGGTGGGAGGAGTAGGGGGAGATGTGCAGGTAACGACTCCATTGTTATTTACTTGTTTGTTTGTCTGAGACAGTGTTCTCCTAGCCTGGTACCACACTGTAGGTGTTGAAACCAGCTCCAGTCTTCCGTTGATAGAATACTGGTGTTGGGTTCAGCACAGTGGGGGCTGCTGAGGGGAGAACGGCTCATAATAATGGCTGGAATGGAGTGTAATGGAGTGAATGGAATGGTATCAAACACGTGAAAATCATGTTTTTGATACCATTCCATTCACTCCATTCCGGGCCGTTATTATGAGCTGTCCTCCCCTCAGCAGCCTCCACTGATCTAACCCATCACTAACATTGCTGGTAAAAAATAAGCGTGATCTTCAGTCTGGTGATTAGCAGATTCAGGTGTGTTACTGCTGGACTAAAAATCCTGACCACCCAGTAGCTTTCCAGGACTCTGGGTTGGAGACCCCTGCCTTACCTAGTACACTACTGTAGTCTACATGTCTAGACTGCCTAAATGTCACTCTATTCCCTATAGAATGCACTACTTTTACCTAGAGCCTTTTGAGCCATAAGTACAATTTAGGCTCTGGCCAACAGTAGTGCACTCTATAGGGATTAGAGTGCCACTTCAGATTTGCTCCGGTCAGACTGAGAGAATCTTCAGATTTACTCCGGTCAGACTGAGAGAATCTTCAGATTTGCTCCGGTCAAACTGAGAGAATCTTCAGATTTGCTCCGGTCAGACTGAGAAAATCTTCAGATTTGCTCCGGTCAGACTGAGAGAATCTTCAGATTTGCTCCGGTCAGGCTGAGAGAATCTTCAGATTTGCTCCAGTCAGGCTGAGAGAATCTTCAGATTTGCTCTGGTTAGGCTGAGAGAATCTTCAGATTTGCTCCGGTTAGGCTGAGAGAATCTTCAGATTTGCTCCGGTCAGACAAAGAGAATCTTCAGATTTACTCCGGTTAGGACTGAGAGAATCTTCAGATTTGCTCCGGTTAGGCTGAGAGAATTTTCAGATTTGCTCCGGTTAGGCTGAGAGAATCTTCAGATTTGCTCCGGTTAGGCTGAGAGAATCTTCAGATTTGCTCCGGTTAGGCAGAGAGAATCTTCAGATTTGCTCCGGTTAGGCTGAGAGAATCTTCAGATTTGCTCCGGTTAGGCAGAGAGAATCATCAGATTTGCTGCGGTCAGACTGAGAGAATCTTCAGATTTGCTCTGGTTAGGCTGAGAGAATCTTCAGATTTGCTTCGGTTAGGCTGAGAGAATCTTCTCACACTGTGGTTTATTAACTGATGTAGTGATGTTGATGCCGTTACGACCCACATTTAGAGCCTACACAGAAATCAACACAAACCTCTTAAAAGTATTTTGATATTTTTTTCAACAAGTCAGCTTCAGTGCTACAGGTCTTTCTTTTATGATCCTGTGAAGTCTTTCTTTAAAGATAAAGAGTAATTGTTCAGCCTACACAGTTGTTGAGTAGCAAACCTGGCAAATAATATAAACTATAAAAATGCATCTACACAACAGGACATTCCTTGACATAATTGAGTTAGCCTATACCTTAGGTATATATGATTACTCTCATGTGAGAATTCTACATAATAGCAGGTTGATCGGTGGAACATTTGTAAGAGCTCTGGGAGAGTTGATAGCATTTTTTTTTGCTAATTAGGGGTCCTTAACCCAATTACCTACGATTGTGCAGTTTGGTTGCTATGCTAATAATAGAGAATGTGTTTACAGCAGTTGTTAACCAACTTAAATACCCTGACCCTCCGAGTCTTTCTTCCTCCACAGATCCTGAACAAATACGAGTCCTGGATCTCGTTTCTGAGCAGCGTCCGTTACTGGGTGGCTTTCAACATCGAGCGAGCGTGTCAGTCCTACTTCGGCTGCGTCCAGTGCATCAGCGGACCACTGGGAATGTACAGGAACAACCTGCTCCACGAGTTCCTGGAGGATTGGTACAACCAGACCTTCATGGGCAGCCACTGTAGCTTCGGCGATGACCGCCACCTCACCAACCGCGTACTGAGCCTGGGCTACGCCACCAAGTACACGGCCCGGTCCAAGTGCCTGACCGAGACCCCCATCACCTACCTGCGCTGGCTGAACCAGCAGACCCGCTGGAGTAAGTCCTACTTCAGAGAGTGGCTCTACAACGCCATGTGGTTCCACAAGCACCACCTCTGGATGACCTACGAGGCTGTCATCACCGGATTCTTCCCCTTCTTCCTCATCGCCACGTCGATACAGCTGTTCTACCAGGGAAGGATCTGGAACATCCTCCTCTTCCTGTTGATCGTGCAGGCTGTCGCCCTCATCAAGTCCTCCTTCGCCTCCTGCCTGAGGGGCAACATCGTAATGGTCTTCATGTCCTTCTACTCAGTGTTATACATGTCCAGTCTGCTACCAGCCAAGATGTTCGCTATCGCCACCATAAACAAGGCCGGCTGGGGAACGTCGGGGAGGAAGACTATCGTGACTAACTTCATAGGGCTCGTTCCCATATCGGTCTGGTTCACCATCCTCTTCCTTGGCGTTATCTATTCGGTCGTCCAGGAAACCAGAAAACATTTTCCAGAGTCTGAAAAGAAAATCTTAATCATTGGTGCGATAGTGTACGCCAGCTACTGGGTCATGCTCTTAACATTGTACACAGTATTGATCACTAAATGTGGCAAGAGGAAGAAAGAACAGCAGTATGATATGGTGCTGGATGTATGACACCTCCCTCCTTTCCACCTCCTCCTCCCCTGAAACTCCTTGGTTTACGTCTCAAACGGCACCCTATTTCCTGTATAGTGCACTACTTTTGACCAGGGCCAATACAGCGCTCTGGTCAAAAGTAAGACACTTTTTAGGGATCAGGGTGCCATTTGGACGCAGACATTCACCCTCTCAACGTTTACAAAGTGAAGAATCTCAAACTGCTCATTGATTGTTGGACTCTCGGGCAGGTGATGTGAAATGACGATGCCAGGAGAGAGATATCATTGCTGCTGTGACTGACTGAAACAAGAAACTACAGATATTTCCTTCTGAAATATTATGATGATGAGGTAAAAAAAAAAAATCACTTGTTGTTGATGTGTTTTGCCAAATGGAAAACCACCAAATGGACATCCTGTTTTCCACATAGATACACAGAGATGACATGCATTAAAAAACAATTGTCCTATGCACTTTTATGTCTCACTCCCATTGTGCATAATGCTTGACAGAGTAATATGAAGATCAAATACCTCAGTGGTTATGTTTTCATCGTATGAGTGAGTGATCGGGATGCACCCAGAAAAGGGCTCATTCTTGTTTATAACATAATTTATGATATTTTTCGGTCATATTTGTCCTTTTTTTTTATACACAGTTCTTAATGAAAGTCAAAAGCTGGAATTTCTCAGTCTTTTGGCCGTGCTGTACCTGTTGACTTGTTACTTTGTAAGTTACATATTGTATTTGAATGCCTTTTTATATAGACCTTTTATTCTATTTTTGCTTTAATAGCCACCAAAGATACTTTATTTTAATTCATTTTTATATAAAAATTGAAAAATGCATTGTGCATTCAACTGTTATAACAATGACGTGTGTATCTGATCAACAATGTGAAGTTAAGAGCTGGGTTTTTGTCTGCAATGATAACAATAAAATGCAAATCTAGGGATAAGTTATTGAATACAAGAAGGGTGATTAACCTGTGTTTTTTTAATGTACATTGACAGAAAACCAGCAATATTTATAAGAACATTCTGTGGTTTATAGATAATTATATATTTGATAATATACATTTTATAATAGACCTTATAGAGACCAAAGTTCCTTTTGGAGAGGTAGCCGTTCTGCAGGATTTTGCTCCAGCCCTACTCTTAACATAGCCTGGTCCCAAATCTAAATTAGCAAGACAGCACAAACAGATCTGGGACCAGGCTAGCACTAATACACTCTATTCTATTGATCACTGCTGCTCCACAGGACCTTGATTAGCTGGATCAGGTGTGTTACTGCAGGGCTGGAGCAAAAGGCTGCCACCCAGTATCTCTTCAGGAGGCGGTTTTGACCACCCCTTGCCTTCCTATAGGACTTCCTGAAATAGGTTTCATACGAGCTCACATGAGGACATGCGTCACATGATGCATTCTGAAAATGTTATAAACAATGCGCTAATCCACATCAGATTAAAATCCCAACAGATACATTTGCACAAAAAATGTAATTATCTATTCCAGAGTATTTACTCTTTAGAGAGTTTAAGAACACATTTTAATACATTTTATTAGAATTGAGAAGACGAATATATTAACTGCTTTAGGAGAGTTTTATCACGAACACATGTTTATACTTTTAATAAATTGAGAAGTGTACCGGAAGTTGATACGTGACTTTGGGATCATGGGTAATATTATCATGAAGCACTTTTGTGTTGTGCCAAAGATAAAAAATAAAAAATGTCTTACTATGTTTAGAATGTTGTCATTATTAATCTGTAATAATACTTCTGTCATGATGAATATGTGTGACTCCCTCATGTCTTATAACACTGATGGTCAGTAAAACACACTTGTTTGCACATAAAATGAGACATTCTCAGTAGTATAGTAGTGCTAGCTTACATTGGTGGATGTTGCTGTTTGGCTGGTGTTGTGTTTTATTGTTTCAATGGAGACAGCTTAATCTGAAGAATAGAAGGCCTTTCTCCAGACAAGTATCAGTGGGGGGTGGAGTGTTGCCATGGCAGAGAAGCTTATTTATTGTACACACAAACATTTTAGTATAAAGTAGCAGAGTAGTGAAATCAATCATCTAGACTTGACCAATTCCATAAGTATACTCTCACTAATCTTCCCAGATCATCCAGGAGGCTCTTTCCAACTTTAAATCACTTTGAATGAGATACATCACACATTATTAATGGGGAGGATTTCTGTTTTTCTTTCATCAGAATTCTACACTAACTAATTTCTAACTCAATACTCTATTATTCAAGCCAGCCCCTTCCAGAGTACAGAACTGGGTTATTACTCACACAATATGACATGTCTAGTCCTCCTAGACTAACATTGGATTGAACATGTTGAACCACCTGCTGTTAAAATTCTCCTGAGTTCTGCTGTATTTCTGTCCAGTCTCCAACATGCGTCCCAAATGGCCCTAGTCAAAAGGAGTACGCGATATAGGGAATAGGGTGCCATTTGGGATGCAAACTCTTGCCTGGTCTCAGACCATAAGGGGAAAATTGGAACCGCAACATTGTACTATACCACTTTCAACGGGTGGTAAAAACATTCCAGCTTCTTCCTGGTTGGTTGGGTCATGGAAAGAAAAAGTAAATGTGAATTCTGTCAGTACTGCACAGCCACCAAGCCAGCTGTGATTCCTCTGTCTAGCTACCTCGCTGTAGTAACACACTGAGACCATGTCATACATCCAGAACGGCACATGTGGGCAACATCGGAGCCAAGGCCCCAAGTGATTCACACCTGGGTTCAAATACTATCCAAAATCATTAGAAATACTTTATCTATGTTTGAAAGAGCCTGCCTGGCGAAATGGAACCAATGGAATCATTCCAAAAGTGTAAAACCCCGCCTATCTGGCACTCCAGGCAGGATAAAGCAAACGCTCAAAGTATGTGAAAGATTTCGAATAGTATTTGAACCCAGGGTCTGCAGTGCGTCAGCAGTGAAATGCCATTCCCAGCTCTGCCAGAGGCATTAAAGTAACGCTCAGAGCTGCAGCTATTCCCCTCTGTCTGTGGGAATGAATGTATTTAACTCATGTCATGTTCTCCCGCATGCAGAGCTCCAGTTCTTGGTCAGAGCTGCCAGACTCTGCACAGTGGAATCATTAGCAGTACAGGATCTGTGGGACTGAATGACTAAACAGTTCTAGAAGCCATTGAGACTCTAAAGAACACATTGACTGTTGTGAATGTTCTACTCATACTGTAGATATAGAACAGATATGAAGAGTTTCATTCCAAAACGCTATATATTTTTTTGTACATTCGCTTTTTTTGTTTAAAGAACTTATGAAAGAGATTGGTGTGTTTTCCCCATCTAATCATGGCATGGGGTTGTTGAATGACAGACGGGTGTGTTTGAAACCTATCACTACATCGTTTCATGTCAGAGAGACAAACCATCACATGTTGTTGCAAAACAAGATATATTCGCCTCACTTTCAAATAAAAAAGTAGCTCTGTAAGGTTTTACACAGTCAAATGTGACAAATAATTTGATTTTTAATAAAGAACTGTACAAATGATACATTTGTGACATCAATATTTAAATGTAATTTGTTTTTCATCAATACAATAATATGAGATCTTGGCTCTGGTCGAAAGAAGTGCACTATATAGGGAATAGGGTGCCATTTGGGACGAGGCCTAACTCTAACCAAACACTGTAGCATGAGGCTAGAATTTATGTTAAATATACAGGACAGGAACATTCCATTCCAGCTAACCAATGGATATACAGGATAGGGCGGCAGGTAGCTTAGTGGTTAAGAGCGTTGTGCCAGTAACCGAAAGATCGCGGTTTAATCCCTGGGACCGATAGGTTGAAAATCTGTTGATTGCCTGAGCAAGGCACTTAACCTCTAATTTGCTCCTGGTAAGTCACCTGGATAAGAGGTGTCTGCTAAAATAAGAACATTCCATTCCAAGCTAACCAATGGTAATATACAGGCTAGGAACTTCCATGTCCAGCTAACCAATGGAATATACAGGATAGGGAACTTACATCTCAGATAACCATGGATAACGGATAGGAACCTTCCATTCCAGCTAACCAATGGATATACAGGATAGGAACCTCCCATTCCAGCTAACCAATGGATATACAGGATAGGAACCTTCCATTCCAGCTAACCAATGGATATACAGGATAGGAACCTTCCATTCCAGCTAACCAATGGATATACAGCGTTTTGCAACTAAACCCATTGTAATACACATCTAAATCTATTACTACAAAATCTGAGGACAATAATATGTATACACACATAAAGGTACCCAAAAGCATGCATTTCTGATTTTAAAAAAAAAACAGAAATGTGAAAAATTGGTGGATATAGCTTTTTGGATATGAACTCTTCATATGTCTATGGTTCTACTGTCCAGAGGGAGGGCTGTATGTTCATTTTGTTCTCTCATTTATATGATATATGTTAAAGCTATGTTATAAAAGCTCACTTTTAACGAGGTCAAAGGTTATTCGGTCAAAGGGAGCGTTGTACAGTGTGCACTAGGCCAACCTTACTTAAATCTACAATACTGTGGCATGCGACGTTTAAAACGAAAAAGCAGAAAGGTTTGATTTGCACTGAATACATTTCTTTGTTGGGTTTATACTTGTGACTTCAATGTTCACTACAACTGTTGGCCTTAATAAGATAATTAGATTCGTGACATGAAAGATTCTAGAGCATGGTTACGGTAAGCTATAAAAACTCAGCCTACAGTAGGTGAAGGAGACACTGCATAATTGTTAGGAATCTAGAGGGCATTACAGTACATTTTATAGATTTGGACTCTATCTTCAAGACACCCCATTGTGGCTGGCTACTATATCATTATTAGTTTCTCATGGCTTTGAGAGGCCAAAAGACACACTCAATGAGGGCATATAAGTAAATAAATACATGACATCTATCCACATAGAAAAGGTTATCCAAGGCCATCAGATCTGAGTCTTAATAGCTGTATTTGAATTCAGCATTAACTATTGCTTCACACGCTTGTATATTTACATATTATCACATGGGGATCACCAACTTCCTAACTGATAGGTCTCAGCAGGTACGAGTTGGCAACACACTCTCTGAGGTGCGCATTACTTCAGTTGGAACCCAACAGGGCAGTGTTGTTTCCACCAGTACTATATATATTGTATACAGACAGCTGCTGGAGCCTGGTTCCCAGGGCGCCACCTGATCAAATATGCTGACGACTCTGCTTTGGTCAGTGTTCTCAAAGGGGATGAGATGGAGCACGGACCGGCTCTGAATGATTGTACTGTCTGGTGTGAGTCATCCCATCTAAAATTAAAACACATCAAAAAACAAAGGATACGGTGACTGACTTTCAAAGGAACAAGTCCATGCAACACGCCATCGCTGATAAAAGGTGAACCAATCGAAATAGTGGAGGAATACAAAATACCTTGGGCTAGTCGTTGACAACAAGCTGTCCTGGGATCAGTGTGCTGACGCTATTTTTAAGAAAGGCCAACAGAGACTGCATTTCCTACGGAAACTGCACTTTTTTAATGTTGATCTAACCATCAGGGTTCTCTTTTATAAATCATTCATTGAGAGCATTCTGTCCTACTGCTTGACCTGCTGGTTTGGGAATATCAAGGTTGCACAGAAAAATAGGCTGGGCAGGATAGTCAGGACTTGCGGAAAAATCACGGGGCAGCAACAGCAAGAACTGTCATCTCTCTACCTGGGCAGAGCCCTCCAGAAGGCAAATAAAATAGCGGTTGACTCTTTCCATCCACTCCACCCTGAATTCCATCTCCTTCCCTCTGGCCCTTTAAACCTAAGGTTTAAAAAAAAAATAGGGCCAAATACTATTTTATTCTGAATGCAATTCTGCAACTTAACAAAATGTTGGACTAATTGCAATGATCACTGTGAAGCTGCACTTGCCTGCCTATTTGCTTGTAAATCTCCTTTGCTATTTATTTTTAATTTTTAGATGTGATGTTTTATGACTGCTGCAAGATGAATTGCCTCTCTGAGGACAATAAAGTTTTCTGAATCTGATATCAGCAGACGCTCTTGTCCAGAGCAACTTACAGGAGCAATTAGGGTTAAGTGCACAATGACAGATTTTTCACCTAGTCGGCTCAGGGATTCAAACCAGCGACCTTTTGGTTACTGGCCCAACGCTCTTAATCGCTAGGCTTCCTGCAACTGTCAGCTGCTGTACCATCTACCATTCAATGTCAATGTCACCTACCATTCAATGTCATCTACCATTTAACATCTACCTTCATGTCTGTTTAATTTACCACGCTGCTTAATAATCCAGATGGAACTGGTCAGATCTAGAACCTAATTAACGCAAAGCCTCTGTCTCACTCCGTATGCTACAAACATTTACTGTCGTTCCATCAACTGTACTAACATCTCAATGTCTGTCTCATTCCCCCTGCCGTTAAACATCCATGCATGAATCTATCACCTAAGCAACAAACATCTGCTGTCGTTCCCCTCACTGCTAAAACATCCTGCTGTCGTTCCCCTCCCTGCTAAAACATCCTGCTGTCGTTCCCCTCCCTGCTAAAACATCCTGCTGTCGTTCCCCTCCCTGCTAAAACATCCTGCTGTCGTTCCCCTCCCTGCTAAAACATCCTGCTGTCGTTCCCCTCCTGCTAAAACATCCTGCTGTCGTTCCCCTCCCTGCTAAAACATCCTGCTGTCGTTCCCCTCCTGCTAAAACATCCTGCTGTCGTTCCCTCCCTGCTAAAACATCCTGCTGTGTTCCCCTCCCTGCTAAAACATCCTGCTGTCGTTCCCTCCCTGCTAAAACATCCTGCTGTCGTTCCCCTCACTGCTAAAACATCCTGCTGTCGTTCCCCTCCTGCTAAAACTCCTGCTGTCGTTCCCCTCCCTGCTAAAACATCCTGCTGTCGTTCCCCTCCTGCTAAAAATCCTGCTGTCGTTCCCTCCCTGCTAAAACATCCTGCTGTCGTTCCCCTCCCTGCTAAAACATCCTGCTGTCGTTCCCTTCCCTGCTAAAACATCCTGCTGTCGTTCCCCTCACTGCTAAAACATCCTGCTGTCGTTCCCCTCCCTGCTAAAACATCCTGCTGTCGTTCCCTCCTGCTAAAACATCCTGCTGCGTTCCCTCACTGCTAAAACTCCATCCTGCTGTCGTTCCCACACTGACTGCTAAACATCTCTGTGATCCTATCCTGCTAAAATCTGACTGATCCTCATGCTAAAACATCCTGACTGGATCCCATATGACTGAATCAACCATCCTAACTGGATCCCATATGACTGACTCCATCCTGCCTGGATCCCATATGACTGACTCAGCCATCCTGACTGGATCCCATATGACTGACTCAGCCATCCTGACTGGATCCCATATGACTGACTCAACCATCCTGACTGGATCCCATATGACTGACTCAACCATCCTGACTGGATCCCATATGACTGACTCAGCCATCCTGACTGTATCCCATATGACTGACTCAACCATCCTGACTGGATCCCATATGACTGACTCAACCATCCTGACTGGATCCCATATGACTGAGTCAACCATCCTGACTGGATCCCATATGACTTACTCAACAATCCTGACTGGATCCCATATGACTGACTCAACCATCCTGACTGGATCCCATATGACTGACTCAGCCATCCTGACTGGATCCCATATGACTGACTCCATCCTGCCTGGATCCCATATGACTGACTCAACCATCCTGACTGAATCCCATATGACTGACTCCATCCTGCCTGGATCCCATATGACTGACTCAACCATCCTGACTGGATCCCAAATGACCGACTCAACCATCCTGACTGGATCCCATATGACTGAGTCAACCATCCTGACTGGATCCCATATGACTGACTCAAAAATCCTGACTGGATCCCATATGACTGACTCAGACATCCTGACTGGATCCCATATGACTGACTCAGCCATCCTGACGGGATCCCATATGACTGCCTCAGCCATCCTGACTGGATCCCATATGACTGACTCAACCATCCTGACTGGATCCCATATGACTGACTCAACCATCCTGACTGGATCCCATATGACTGACTCAGCCATCCTGACTGTATCCCATATGACTGACTCAACCATCCTGACTGGATCCCATATGACTGACTCAACCATCCTGACTGGATCCCATATGACTGAGTCAACCATCCTGACTGGATCCCATATGACTTACTCAACAATCCTGACTGGATCCCATATGACTGACTCAACCATCCTGACTGGATCCCATATGACTGACTCAGCCATCCTGACTGGATCCCATATGACTGACTCAGCCATCCTGACTGGATCCCATATGACTGACTCAGCCATCCTGACTGGATCCCATATGACTGACTCAACCATCCTGACTGGATCCCATATGACTGACTCAGCCATCCTGACTGGATCCCATATGACTGACTCAATCATCCTGACTGGATCCCATATGACTGATTCCATCCTGACTGGATCCCATATGACTGACTCAGCCATCCTGACTGGATCCCATATGACTGACTCCGCCATTCTGACTCAATCCCATATGACTGACTCAACCATCCTGACTGGATCCCATATGACTGACTCAGCCATCCTGACTGGATCCCATATGACTGACTCAGCCATCCTGACTGGATCCCATATGACTGACTCAGCCATCCTGACTGGATCCCATATGACTGACTCAACCATCCTGACTGGATCCCATATGACTGACTCAGCCATCCTGACTGGATCCCATATGACTGACTCAGCCATCCTGACTGGATCCCATATGACTGACTCAGCCATCCTGACTGGATCCCATATGACTGACTCAGCCATCTTGACTGGATCCCATATGACTGACTCCATCCTGCCTGCTTGTCTGCCCTGAATCAGGTTTACAAGCATAGAAGGACCCATTGTGTTTTAATAGGAATAAACTGTACACAGAATCGCCCCACGTTTTCCCCACTTTGATGGTGTTGCATCCCAAATGGCACCCAATTCCCTGAATAGGGCACTTATTTTGACCAGGGCCTTTTGGCCCATAGTAGGGAATAGGGTGCTATTTGGGACGCAGACATGGTGTTTCTGTGGGGGAACCCTGGGTGGTCAACCACAAACCTCTGGTAGAGAAGCAGATGGAGTTTACCAACGTCCCCCATCATACTGACGCACTGGCTGGCTGCAACACAAGTGAGTTATCAAATCATTACGTTCTGATGACTACATCTAATTATGTCATTAAGTGCTGGGGAATAGATGTAATGATGTAATCAGCGGTGAAGTGGAGATGCTCTGATGAAGGGTAGGAAGGAACACTATGGAGGACGCTTTGATTCTGGAGCACCAGGCCAGATCAGCCCGACCACCCGGAACACTGTGAGGGAGAAGTCAATGGGATTTACCATGGCTGCCCCCAGGGCAGTGGTGGCTGGAAGGAATCAAGACACTTTGCTTATACTCCACAATGGCAGGTCAATTAGTGACTCCACAGTGGCAGGTCAATTAGTGTGGTTATATATCAGTGCTAGCAGACAGGGCTGCTCCCTACAGGATGACAAATGACAGACAAGACACTGACATGATGGATCGACCCTGAAAAACAGGATTTATAAAATGTACAGTATATTGGTAGTGAGATAGCAGTTTCCCTTTTCCCATTGGGTAAACCACTTGGGATAGTTTCCCTTTTCCCATTGGGTAAACCACTTGGGATAGTTTCCCTTTTCCCATTTGGTAAACCACTTGGGATAGTTTTGAAAATATATCCGATTGCCCCAGCCCGGATCATTGGGGTTTGCCAGCAATCAGCTGCTCTGTTGATTGAAAAGAATATCACATTTATAAAGAAAACATTATGTCATAACCCTGAGGAAAATACCCAGCATCAGAGGCTGATCGGACCCAGACCTGGGTTCAAAGACTAGTTGATATCATTTCACGTACTTTATCTGGGCTTGATTGAGCTGGCCTGGCACAATGGAACTAAAGGAATAGTCACAAAACTGCAAAGGCCACCCATCTGGCACTCCAGGCAGACTAAAGCAAACGTTACAAGTATTTGAAAGATTTCAAATAGTACTTGAACCCTGCAGGTCTCGTCTGGACGGTCTCGCCACCACCTGTATTTACTTACCACAGCCAATACTGGCCATTGGAGATCATTGTGCCAGAAATCAAATGAATGAACGTTGTAATTAATTCCGTGTTTGACTGTTGATGAATGGGTGGAGGTCAGGAAGTCAATGCACACCATCTTGTGAGCTGTTTCATTCATGTGCTGCTGCCAACATTAGGTCTGGATGAACATGGCCATGGAACAAGAGTATGTCAAAGATGATTAATTGAATGTATTCACAATGATGTCCAAGGGTCTAAATGATTGTCCAATGAATTATAGATAGTAGTAATAGATATATTACAGGATACCACACCAGAGATTAACCAATTATGACCTTTATTATTGACCTTGCTTCGAACCTTTAAGTATTGTTCTATCATCTCTGTGTGTAGCCAATTGGGGGACATTTTGTTTTGAATGTTGTGGACAACACCAAGGAGAGCGCATTTAAAACACTGTAAACACAGCAGACGTTGCCTAGTGTCTTTCTCTGTCTGTACTCAACTTGGAACAGTTTTCCTATACACTGTAATTCTCGTGTTGGGTGGGGTTGTCAGTGTTCGCTATAAACTGTGGGTGAGGTTTTCAGGGTTCGTCATAAACTGTGGGCTATAACTGGTGTTGGGTGAGGTTTCAGGTTCACTATAACTTGTGTTGGGTGAGGTTTATCAGGGTTCACTAAACTGTGTGTTGGTGAGGTTATCAGGGTTCACTATAAATGTGTGTTGTTTGAGGTTATCAGGGTTCACTATAAACGTGTGTTGGGTGAGGTTTATCAGGTTCACTATAAACGTGTGTTGGTGGGGTTATCAGGGTTCACTATAACTGTGTGTTGGTGAGGTTATCAGGGTTCACTATAAACTGTGTGTTGGGTGAGGTTATCAGGGTTCACTATAAACTGTGTGTTGGGTGGGTTTCAGGGTTCACTATAAACTGTGTGTTGGGTGGGGTTATCAGGGTTCACTATAAACTGTGTGTTGGGTGGGGTTATCAGGGGTTATTTACAAATAGAAAACAAAGATACCTTGATTGCGTATGTCTTCACACCCCAGATTTAGGGTTAGGGTTAGGGTTAGGGTTAGGGTTAGGGTTAGGGTTAGGGTTAGGGTTAAGGTTAGGGTTAGGGTTAGGGTTAGGGTTAGGGTGGAAACACTTTTACAGCTGTAAATCGTTTTGAATAAGATTTGCACAACTCTTAGGGCAACGTGTAGGGGAATCATTGATGGAAAGCAATATTCAAACCTTGTCTCTCATTTTCAAGAAGATTTAAGTCAGGACTGAGACTGGACCCCTCAGGAACACTTAACACCGCTTGGAAAGCCATTCTGGCGTGTCTTTGGCATTAAAATGTGTGTAATTGTCCGGCTGAAAAATAAAACTATTATTTGGAAAATGTTCAAGAATTTTTATTTTACTTTGAAAATGTGGAGTAGGTTCTGTAAAAAACAACAACAGCACACAATTGAATCCCTTTTCAGATATAATTGTAGCCCTTTCCTGCAGTCAAATGACCTACTGGCCTCATGGGTGGAATGTTATTAATATTATTCATCATTTCATCATTAATAAATATTATTTAAATTTTTAAAAAATGAACATCCGGTGTTTCTATGTCAAATGGTTTTGTGATATTTCAGTCTTCTGTGATGTATATAAAGTGTAATATTGGGATGCAAACTCAAAATGTAATACATTTCAACTCTATATCTGACATGGTACAGGTGTCTTCTTTTTTTGAAGCCCATAACCATGTGTGTGAGGTGTATACTTTTGTTTCAAAGTAGATTTGTTTAAGACTACCAAGAAATACTCTGTGTGACCCTGATTTAGCCCACTGCAGTACAAGGTTAAGGTGGCAAAATGTGAAGAACATGCAGGGGGTGTGTAGACTTTCACCAGCGATTGTATGTAGAAGATGGAGGAGTGGACTTCAATTAATGAACTTAATCTTTGAGATTTCTTTTCCCAAGAGCGTCATGCATTATTTAACTCAGGCATATCACAAGGGACTAAGAAATAAATATATTTCTACTCAAAATGGCTGTGGAAACTGCCGGAATGGCTGGTAGAAAAGAGAAACGCCAATGCAGGAAGGACATATTTAAGCTTGAGTTCCCTTAAAACAAACAATGAATAAATAAATAAAAGCAATGGGATTTCCTCTTCCCTAAACAAGATCTTGTTCAAAAAGGCCTTAGTGTCCAATATTGGATGATAAAGTAGTTTTCAGGCAGACAGGCTACAGTATTCAGACCATCCTGACGAAAAGGAAAAGGAAATCTTCTCTGGAAAGGAGTGTTTTTTCCAGGCATTGGTGACAGCAGCTATAAGATGACAATGCAAGGCTTCAACCATATCTGAAACATGTCTCGGTACTTTTCAAGTCTGAAAGTAACTTCCCATTCATCCATTTGGTACCGTTTCGATTGAGGATGCAACGCAGGCCCTTCTTACATGGCTGTGCTCTGGTGATTTACTGGTGCCCAGGGACACTGCGATTCCGCTCGGCTCCAGATGCTTTACAAACAAGGGGACTTCCTGCGATTCTGGAGCCTGCGTCTCAAATGGCACCCTATTCTCCATATAGTGCACTACTTTTGACCAGAGTCCTATGAACAGAGCCCTAAAGTAGTGCATTTTATAAGGAATAGGGTGCCATTTGGGACGCAGCCTGACTGGGGCTCCCTGCACATGTCAAGCAAAGCACTCCCCTTCAGTCAGTCCTCAGCCCCACTTCCAGCCCTGAAAACGACCTTGTTGTTTGCAGGGTGAGAGGGCTTGGAGGGTGTTATCCTGGTTATATAGTGTTATTGTGGTTTTATAGTGTTATCCTGGTTTTATAGTGTTATCGTGGTTTTATAGTGTTATCCTGGTTTTATAGTGTTATCCTGGTTTATAGTGTTATCCTGGTTTTATAGTGTTATCCTGGTTTTATAGTGTTATTGTGGTTTTATAGTGTTATCCTGGTTATATAGTGTTATCCTGGTTTTATAGTGTTATCCTGGTTTATAGTGTTATCCTGGTTTTATAGTGTTATCCTGGTTTTATAGTGTTATTGTGGTTTTATAGTGTTATCCTGGTTTTATAGTGTTATCGTGGTTTTATAGTGTTATCCTGGTTTCATAGTGTTATCGTGGTTTTATAGTGTTATCCTGGTTTTATAGTGTTATCGTGGTTTTATAGTGTTATCCTGGTTTTATAGTGTTATCCTGGTTTTATAGTGTTATCCTGGTTTTATAGTGTTATCCTGGTTATATAGTGTTATCGTGGTTTCATAGTGTTATCGTGGTTTTATAGTGTTATCCTGGTTTTATAGTGTTATCCTGGTTTTATAGTGGTATCCTGGTTTTATAGTGTTATCCTGGTTTTATAGTGTTATTGTGGTTTTATAGTGTTATCCTGGTTTTATAGTGTTATCCTGGTTTTATAGTGTTATCCTGGTTTTATAGTGTTATCGTGGTTTTATAGTGTTATCCTGGTTTTATAGTGTTATCCTGGTTTTATAGTGTTCTTGTGGTTTTATAGTGTTATCCTGGTTTTATAGTGTTATCCTGGTTTTATAGTGTTATCCTGGTTTTATAGTGTTATCCTGGTTTTATAGTGTTATCCTGGTTTTATAGTGTTATCGTGGTTTTATAGTGTTATCCTGGTTTTATAGTGTTATCGTGGTTTTATAGTGTTATCCTGGTTTTATAGTGTTATCCTGGTTTTATAGTGTTATTGTGGTTTTATAGTGTTATCCTGGTTTTATAGTGTTATCCTGGTTT